TGAAGCGGCCTGTTTTGCAGAAAAGGAAATGCGCAGCAAGTGCTACGGCTGCCGAAGAAGTGACAGCTCTGACCTCTTTCAGGGCTGAGACGTTTTCAGCGCTGGCCTGACCTCTGATGCTCTCTGTCGGCATCAGGCACCTTTTCTGTTTCTGGACAGTGTTTTTCTGCACCTTTTCTCAGCCGCGTTATCATTGATACGCCAAGATGCAAGCAGTCAGATCACAGGAGTCTGCCACCATGTTAGCTAAGCCTTGATTTGAGCTCTGGTGTTTATACTGTGTTTGATATTTTTTCTGGTTCTGTCACTGTCGCAGTTGTGGGCTATTTGATGATGTTTTCCCCGTCTTCTCCTCTTGTAGGAGTGGGATGGAGTCTGATTGCTCTGCCTTTTGATTGCTGTTTTTGGATTGTTTAAAGAACAATTAAAAGATAAGGCACTTATTGTAGGTAGTACAGAGTTTTATTGGAGGTAGTACAGAGTTTACAGTCCTTCAACAAAGCAGCAAACCAGCCATGGCATTCTTGTAAAGTTCTGGGCTATAATAATAATAATTCCTTGCACTTATGTGGTTCTTTCCTGGTCTGACTACAGTCAAAGCACTTTACAGGTCATGGGGATCCCCTCCACCACCACCAGTGTGCAGCCCCACCTAATTGAGGCTCCAGTCCTCTCCCCACACACCAGCTCTCAGTGGGGAGGAGAGCAGAGTGATGAGGCCAGTTCAGAGATGGGGATTATTAGGAGGCCATGATGGGTAAAGGCGAGAGGGAAATTGGGCCAGAAATTAATGATCACCGAGAGTCAGGACCTCAGTTTTACGTCTCATCAGCAGGACGGTGCCTTTTTATAGATTAGTGTCTCCATCATTATACTGGGGCATTAGGACCCACATAGACTGCAGGATGAGCACCCTTTACTGGTCCCGCTAACTCCTCTTCCAGCAGCAGCCTTAGTTTTTCCCAGGAGTCTCCCATCCAGGGACTGGCCAGGCTCATACCTGCTAAGCTTAGCAACCAGCTCAGCCACCCTCCCTCCTTCTGAATCTACCTCTCTTTCTCCCTGCACGCTGGACTCGATTGGACAGCAGTCAGTTCTGCATGGGCAAGAACCCACACTTCCTTTGTCATTGCAGCCCGTCCAATCAGACCGCCCAGCTCCGGCCATGCCCCCGCCTCTTGCCCTGACGGCTCCGGGGCAGATTGGCCATTGGTGGAGCCGGCTGAGGTTCCGCCTCCAGCACAAGAAGGACTGGACGCAGGTGCTGGATGAGACCTTCCTACTGCAGAGCAAGAGGTAGGCGAACTGACATCATCGCATTGGTGCCGATAGCAGGGACACGGAGGAGCGTGATTCTAGTGCAGGGCAAGAACGAGCGTGATTCTAGTGCAGAGCAAGAACAGAAGGCTCTTCTTTTTCACCTATCTTGGCCCATTTGGTTTGGTAGTTTATTAATCCCAGGATCTCATCCAGCTGTGTCTTGAGAGAAGCCAGCATGTCGGATTCAACAGTGTGGCTGGGCAGCTTGTTCCCCTCTCCTACTCCTCTCTGTGGTACTGTAGTTCCTCCTGTCCTGATTGGAGGATCTCATCCAGCCAGGCCATCAGCTTCGACAGCACGGCTTAGTTTCTTGTTGCAGACTCCCGCTATCCTTTGCCAAAAGACGTACCTCCTGTTCTGGATCATGACCACTGAAATGTCTCTCTCTCTGGCAACGTTTCTTTTTCCTCAGGATTAAGGACAGCCCCCTCTTTTTTGCGGCGAAAGAAAATGACGTCATGTCGATCCGCAAGCTGCTCAAGTGTCCGTCGACAGACATCTTCGAGAGAGGTCAGCCCGCCGGTCTCCATCCAGACCTGCTTCTCTTTGTCAGGCTGTCTGGCTGTCTTCCTGGGTCTGTCGCTGAATCATCCCATCAGTCTGGATCTCCAGTAGCGAATTCCACCAGCTGATCAGTGTGTCTGATGGCCTGCCCGAGTCTCTATTGGTGAATCGTGTGTCAGTCAGCCGTGAGGCTCTGTTGCTGAATCAGCTCATCTGTCAGTGGTTAGTCCATGTGTCTGCAAGTTGATAGGTCATCCGAGCTTCATCAGTGCTCCTCCAGAGTGACAGAAGTTTGTAGTTTTCAACCCTCTGAGCTCTCACGGATCTGTTAGAGCAGAGGAGCTCATGTTTCCAGCAGTTAAGCAGGGGCTGTCGCGTGAGAATCTGTGGGATCTTCTCTCCCATTCCATTGTGAGGACTCGAATCATCTTACCCCCTCTCTCTCGCTTTCAGGGGCACTGGGGGAGACTGCTCTCCACGTGGCTGTGATGTTCGACAACCTGGAGGCATCTGTTGCTCTCATAGAAGGAGTCCCGGACCTCATCAACGAGCCCATGAGCTCTGATGTCTATGAAGGTCAGCTCCCTCATTCCCTGTGCCAACTCCCATGTTTGTTGAGGATGTGTCAGTCAGGGTGTACGTTTCATTAAACTTTGTGTGTGTGTGGTCCATTGCCAGGGATGACAGCCATGCACATCGCTGTGCTGAACCAGAATGTGAACCTGGTGCGCGAGCTGATTGCCCGAGGGGCAGATGTGGCCACACCACGGGTGACTGGGTCGTACTTCAAGAAGAGGAGAAAAGGACTAGTCTACTTTGGTATGGTTGTGTATGTCTATATTTGTATTATTCTCTGTACTTGTCTCTCTTTCCTTGTTTTCACTTAGAAAGAAAAATATTGAATTTATATTTGAGTCCATGTTAGGTGTGTCAGACCCTATATTAGGGTCTGTATTAATCTCTGTGTGAGGAGTGTCTCTAGGGTCTGTATTAATCTCAGTGTGTAAAGAGTGTCTCTAGGGTCTAAATTAGGGTCTGTATTAATCTGTGTGTGTGAGGACTGTCTCTAGGGTCTATACTAGGGTCTGTTTTTATCTCTGTGTGTGAGAGGAGTGTCTCTAGGGTCTGTATTAGGGTCTGTATTAATCTCTGTGTGTGAGGAGTGTCTCTAGGGTCTAAATTAGGGTCCGTATTAATCTGTGTGTGTGAGGAGTGTCTCTACGTTCTGTATTAGGGTCTGAATTAATCTCTGCGTGTGAGGGGTGTCTCTAGGGCATAAATCAGGGTTTGTATTAATCTTTCTGTGTTAGGTGTGTGTCTAGGTTTTGTATTAATCTGTTTTATTTTCCAGGTGAGCATATCCTCTGCTTTGCTTCCTGCGTGGGAAATGAAGAAATTGTCAATATGGTGATAGAAGCTGGGGCAAACCTCCGAGCCCAGGATTACCTTGGTATCTTTCTCGATTAAAAAAAAAAAACATTTTATCCACATGACAGTTTTGAGAAATAATTGACTTAAATAAACTCAATAATTGTATTCTCGTGCTCTTTCCCTCTCTGCCTTCTCTTCGTCTCCCTTGTTTGTTCTTTCCCCCTCCTGTCTTCTCTCTCCACTCTGCTGCCCTCAGGCAACACTGTTCTGCACATCCTCATCCTCCAGCCCAACAAAATGATCTCCTGTCAGATCTTCGACCTGCTGATGGCGGCCGATGGCAAGACGGACAGGGGAGTTCCCCTCGATGTTCTCCCCAACTTCCGTGGCCTCACCCCCTTCAAGCTTGCTGCTAAAGAAGGGAATGTGGTGGTGAGTGAGTGTGGAAGAGAGGAGCGTGTGTGTGGCTAGTTGGCACACTTGATACCGAAAAAATAGCATATCCCACAATGCACCAAAACGTCCCTGCCTTAAGTAATGTAGTGGGCATGGCAGGAGTATTGCTTTCTAACACTATCAACTCAAATATTAAGAACTCGCTTTAACTGTGTGTAGTGCTTTTCAGCCAGAAGGATCCCTAGGAGTTTCACGTATAGAATGCAGACCCACTTCATCTATGATAGAAGTTTGGGCCCATTTGGGTCTCACACTGTAGCTTTCCCACCCATAGTGTCGTACCACACACCAGATCAGAGGCAGAAGTGACAAGTCCCAGAAGTAGTTGAGTTACATTAGAGAGTTGAACACTTAGGGAAGGCAGACCCGACTGAGCCCAGAGATTTACACAATGGCCACAATCCCGCTGCTCTTATGAAAAGGGCCATGGGAGTTTTAATGGTCAGCAACTCAGGTCTTTAGAACAAACTCATCTGAAGGGTGGCTTCTCCTCCTGCAGCATATGGCCCTCTTGCAATGATGCAATTATGTTGGTTGGGAAATTCTGGGTAGGAAAATCCCCCCACGTCCGGCAGTAGTCTGGTCTTCCTGAGAGGTCTCCCATCCCAGTTAGATATGGAGAGACATGAAAACTGACTTGGGTATTGCAGCAGAGAGCCAGTGACCTGGAAACGAGAAGGATCAAGGAGAAGGAGCTGGAGAAGGAAGGAAAGAGAGAGGAAGAGAGGAGAGAGTTACTGTGCAGAAATAGAGAGACAGTACAAAGGCGGTTTTGCTAAAGTACATCTCCTGTGTGGAATTCAAGTGAATTCCAAAGAAAAATTGTCCTGGAGGTATAATTCTTTAAATGACAAAGATGGGGATAATGCCTGTGGTCAGAGCAATGTTGTATTCCTGCACCAAGCGGCTGGACACTACTGTCCGTGAATGACACACCTGGAGGGCCTGTGAGGATGACCTCACGCTCTCCCTCCCCTTCCTTCTGTCTCAGATGTTCCAGCACATGGTCAGTAAGAGGCGTAGCCTGCAGTGGTCACTGGGCCCCCTGTCCTCCTACTTGTATGACCTGTCCGAGATCGACTCCTGGAGTGACGACTGTTCTGTCTTGGAGCTCGTTGTCTGCAGCTCCAAACGAGAGGTCGGTGCCGGTCTCCCGCCCTCTTTCTCTCCTCTCCAGGCGATGCAATGCCAGTTGGGTACAGATACCAAGGAATGTCTGGGTTACCTCCCCCCTCTGTCTTGCTCTCTGGCAGGCTCGGAGGATCCTGGACGTCTCTCCAGTCCGGCAGCTGGTCAGCCTGAAGTGGAACCTCTATGGGAAACATTACTTCCGCTTCCTGCTGCTCCTGTACCTGTTGTATATCGGCACCTTCACGCTGTGCTGCACCTTTCGCCCCTTAAAGCCAATACCGGAGAATTACAGCCTGGAGCACACCGACATCACCATCTTTGTGCAGAAGACACTGGAGGTCGGTGCCAGGGCTTGTGCTCCTGTGTGTGTGTGAGTGTGTGTGTGTGCAGGCGATGGAGTTTCCTCTGTCTCAGTCTAGCAAAGCATCAAAGCAAAGGGGTTTTCGCTGCAGAGGTGTCTACCAACTTGGGGACTGTAAAGCAGCCATCTCTGACTGCTATCTAAACCCAGCCACCAATATATATATATATCACCAATCTGATGACCTACCTACCTCTTAAGAGGTTCTATTTACAGACTTGAGGCAGCTTAACAGCCCTTATTGACAGGTTAACTGATATTGCAATCTCTCCACAGCCCAGCCTGCTATGTGCTCTTTGAACTTGTTTCATGGTGATTAGGGTAATTTCTCTACTGCAACACACCTTTAACAGTAAAACATATGTTGTATCCATCTTTAGATCTGTGTCGCCGTTTCTGTCATTTCCAGTGTCTGTTCATCTGTCTCTGTCTAGTATGGTCGATCTATCCTTCTGCCCGTATGACTGTCTTTCAGGAGAGCTACATTTCTTATGAAGATCACCTGCGTTTGGTGGGAGAGATTATCAGTGTGGTTGGGGCCCTGGTTATCCTGTTACTGGAGGTAACTGGTAATCTGTTCCTTATCTCACTCACAGATAAGACCATCACACAGCCAGACACATGATGACATCGCAGTCCTACAGGAATGTGCGCATTGTGGGCCATTTTTCAGTTTAGAAACCTCAGCTGCTTCTGTTCTTGTTCCACCAGTCTGATCACGAATCAGCAATTCTAAATCGTCTCGGTTGATGGCCAAACTCATGCACTCTGCTGCTAATGAAAGGCTTCAAGGGTCACACATGCACCCTCTGAGATGCAATGTGCTCTCGTCCCCTCCACCTCCCTTTTGTAGGTGACGTTGCTAGCTCACAAGAGCCCTGGTCAGCCACTGGGAGGGGGGTCCTGTTGTGAGACTTTGACCAAGTGAAGCCCAATCTGACACCACTAGCGCTTGGTCAGCCATGAGCCAGTGCTTGGGGAATCCTGGTCATTTGTCCAGACCTGTCAGTATCTGATGGATTGATTGGGCGAGCTTTAACTTGTCGAACCAATGAGGAGGACTGAGATGCAAGACGAACATTTTAGCATTGAATTCAGCCGCAGAATGGTTACAAATGAAAAGAGGCTGTTGGTCCATTGAACCCATCTTGGTCATTTGTAACTAATTGATCAGAGGAGCTCATCCAGTTGTTCAACAGCATGACTAAGCTTGTTCCACACTCCCACAACCCTTTGGGTATGGCAGACGTCACTGATTCTCTTCTTTCCGTTTGTTTTAAGTGCTTGGTAGCACTCTGAAGCGCAAGCATTTTTTTTGTTAAAACCATCAAAAATACGGGGAATCCTGGCTGAGATGGAGTCACGAATTCCATTGTCTACATGACTTGAGTCCCATCTGAGTCTTCTGTGGCAACGATCTAAAATCCGGGTCCAAATCCGCGACTCTTGTCCTCCTCCGATCTGGTTTTCTTTCTAGTAAAACCCGTTCATTCATTGTAAGGTATCAAGCAACAGTGTTCTTTTTTTAATGGTATTGTTCTTCCTAAAGAATACACCCCTAAGAGTTATCTGGAATAAACTTCTCCCAAATTCTGTTTCTCAGCATGAAGGCTAGGATGCAGGGTAGGACAGTTAAAAGGAAATACTGTATGTAATTTCATTGTTTACAGATATCATTGAATTTCTATGTATGTTATGTTGCGTCATAACATAATTCCAGGAGGTCTTCTGGCGACAGAATTCTTAAGACCCTTTCCCCTACACTCTGACGTTGTTCCACTGATGGAATTATTCTCTGCAGTCGTACTCCTCCTGCTCCTGTGGTTGATCTGCCACTGTTTCAGATGGAAAAAAATCTTTGATTTCAGATCCCGGACATTTTGCGTGTCGGTGCGAAGAGATATTTTGGACAGACCGTTCTTGGGGGTCCTTTTCATGTAATTCTGTGAGTATGAGCGAATTGTCGTGCTCATTGCCTTTGTATGAGTGGCGGGCCGAGTTAGTATCTACAAAGCAGCCAGCCACACCTTCATCTCCTGTCTTTCAGTGCTGGTTACCTTGGTAATTAATTAGACAGGAGTCCTGAACTACCTGGACGCATTAATCTTTCTGTGTTAGGAGTGACTCTAGGGTCTATATTAGGGTCTGTATCAATCTCTATATGTAAGGTGTGTCTCTAGGGTCTACAATAGGATCGTTATTATTCCCTGTGTGTTAGGAGTGTCTCTAGGGTCTATATTAAGGTCTGTATTAATCTCTGTGTGTGAGGAGTGTCTCTGGGGTCTGTATTAATCTCAGTGTGTTAGGTATGTCAGTAGAGTTTATATTCTGATGTGTGTTAGGGGACTCTAGGGTATGAATTAGAGAATGTATGAATCTTTTCATTGTCTCTAAAGTCCATATTAAGGACTGCCTCTATTAGACTACCATTCTATCAAATGCGTCTCTGTATTAGGATCTACATTTTCTCTATGGAGACACAATAGTGTCTGTCCTTTTTTTTTTCTTCGTCTCTCCCCAGCATTACCTATGCCTGTCTTGTGCTGGTGTTACTGATTTTGAGGCTGTCCAGTTCTGAAGGGGAAGCGGTGGTTATGGCGTTATCTCTAGTTCTTGGTTGGTGTAACGTCATGTACTTTGCACGTGGGTTTGAGATGCTGGGACCGTATGTGATCATGATTCAGAAGGTGACTCCACTCGCCCACTCTTTCTTCTCCTCCTTGTCCTGTCTTTTCCAGTGCAGTGTAGTGTCCACCTGTTATTGGGAAATTAGATTATCGATTAAATTCTCTTTCAGCTGTCAGCCGCTTATTATTATTTCTCTCCCTCACTTCTTCTTGTTATGTGAATATTATTCCCTCTTTTAATCATTTTCTGTTTACATTCTCTCTTCTCATTTTGTGTATTTTAGAGTACCTTTGTTATCCAGTCAGGTTATGATCTGATGCCTATTGATGCTGAGAGAGCAGTTTGAAATACTACAGGCTGGACTAGACTGGGCTCT